ACAGGATGCACCAGAGCTCCATTCTGAGTGTCATGGCAAAGGCTGGGAATACTTATGTACATGAGGTTTTTTTTTTTTTTTTTTGTTATTTTATTTTTAATAAATTGCAAAGATTTCAAAATGAACTTCTTTCCTGTTTTGATTATGGGGCAGGGCTTAAAATGTAGAGTCTAGACCTACTAGCCAGGCACAAACCTTACTCTCCACCAGTTACCCCACCCAACCTTGCCCAGATCCGCCTCCAACCCTACCCCCGGCCCACCCCCAACCCGGCCCCTGCCCTGCCCCCAACCACGCCCCCTTAAAGTTTATGAAATTAAATTTTTCTTTAGAATAAAGAGTCCAAAATGTAAAAAACTGCAATTATAACATATCTTTATTATGCCAATTTAAACATAACAGTTTTACAGCTTTAAACCTGTAGTAAATATTTTGTATTTTTTTTTGTTTATCTCCTGCATCTTTAAAAAGAGACTTTAGTAACTAAAGTCTCTTTTAAAAGATGTAAGTTTAGTTAATGTCATTTACCTTAAGCTGGTGGGTGTAGTGATGTGCACCGTTGGCGGGTCTCTCTTTCACGTGTCCCCCACGCCGGTATAGAGCGGGCCTTTCCTCATATCCCCCAAGACGGTGTAGAGCAGGCCTCATGTCCCCAAGGTGGTGTAGAGCGGGCCTCGTGTCCCCAAGGTGGTGTAGAGCGGGCCTCATGTCCCCCCTCATGTCCCCCAAGGTGGAGTAGAGCAGGCCTCGTGTCCCCCAAGGCGGTGTAGAGCGGGTCTCATGTCCCCCAAGGTGGTGTAGAGCGGGCCTTGTGTCCCCCAAGGTGGTGTAGAGCGGGCCTCGTGTCCCCCAAGACGGTGTAGAGCGGGCCTCATGTCCCCCAAGGTGGTGTAGAGCGGGCCTTGTCCCCCAAGGTGGTGTAGAGCGGGCCTTGTGTCCCCCAAGGTGGTGTAGAGCGGGCCTTGTGTCCCCCGAGGTGGTGTAGAACGAGCCTCGTGTCCCCCAAGACAGTGTAGAGCGGGCCTCGTGTCCTCCAAGGCGGTGTAGAGCCGGCCTCATGTCCCCCCTCATGTCCCCCAAGGTGGTGTAGAGTGGGCCTCGTGTCCCCCAAGGCGGTGTAGAGTGGGCCTCATGTCCCCCCTCATGTCCCCCAAGGCAGTGGAGAGCGGGCCTCTCCTTGTGTCCCCCGCAGCGGTGGAGAGGGTGTCTCCTCTCAGCAGAGGAGAGCGGACCTCTCCTGCACCTGTTCCCTCAGCGACGCTGCCAGTGTAATGGTGGTGCCGCAGAAGCCGGAAACCGGAAGTTAGAAACCGGAACTCGGCTTCACAATGAAGCTTGGAGCGCAGGTGCAGCCGCTCCATCCATCATCTGTGCTTGCCACACAGGAATTTCTCCTCGCATTTGGCGAGCTGGCGAGCGGCTTTTTCAAGCCCTGTTATGGGGTATTGATTGTAGAATGTTGAGGAAAAAAATGAAATTAATCCATTTTGGAAGAAGGTCGTAACATAACAAAATGTGGCAAAAGGTAAGAGCCGGGAATACTCTCTGGATGCACTGTGTGAATAGCGGAGACATCCGACCAATGGGAATACTCTCTGGATGCACTGTGTGAATAGCGGAGACATCCGACCAATGAGAATACTTTCTGGATGCACTGTGTGAATAGTGGAGACATCCGACCAATGGGAATACTTTCTGGATGCACTGTGTGAATAGCAGAGACATCCGACCAATGGGAATACTTTCTGGATGCACTGTGTGAATAGTGGAGACATCCGACCAATGGGAATACTTTCTGGATGCGCTGTGTGAATAGCGGAGACATCCGACCAATGGGAATACTTTCTGGATGCGCTGTGTGAATAGCGGAGACATCCGACCAATGGGAATGGTTTTATCAGTAAAGTCCCGTGAATGAGGAGCCCAGATAAGCTCTATCTAAGCTCCTCTCATTGGCCAGCAGAGCCAAGACATAAAAGATGGCAGTAATTTATTGCCAAGTTGCAAATCAATGGACAGATTTATATTAGCGGCTCTGCGGCTGGCCTACAAATCTCACCTTTTGTATTGAGATCAAAGGATGGGCCTTGTCCATTGTTAGCGGACAATGGAGCCAACCTCCGGGGTGGTAATCATGGACAACCACAAGAGTGACACCGAGTCTCGTATTCTTGGATCCACGCTGAGACTAATAAGGATGATTATCACGGGTGAACAGCAGCATCCTACTGATACTAGAGAAGCAGACAACCTTCCTATGAACCCGTGCAGGCCATGCAACGAGCGCACTTAAAGGGCTTGTTCACACTCGCAGTTGCAGCTCAGCCTCAATTATTGAATGGGTTGCGCTTGGTGGCTGTGTAGTAGGGTCAGGGCTGCTGTTAGAAATAACGGGGCCCCATACAGCCAACCTGACAGGGCCCCCTTGAATAAAAACAAACAAACAAACAAGGTTTAATTTGCTTCAGTTATGAATGAACACGGTGAGTGATCAGTACCGACTCATTTTATTCATTCAGGAAAGAACGGGGCTGGTAAATGTGACATATTTACCGTCCCTTCCCCCACTCTCCATTCTGAAGGATCCTATTGTGCGCTTGCAGCTGCCGGTGGGAAGGAGAGGAGGGAAGCCTGGGGTACACTGGGGGGGGGGGGGCTGGGGGCAGCATGGGGAAATGTTTCATACACAGGGAGGATGATAGGTGCACCAGGGGGGCAATTACTGGAACTGATCCCCTGTATGGCTCCCACTGCAGCCAGCAAGAGGGAGAGGAGAAGAAGTCAGCTATCAGTTGCTGCAGAGAGAGCCTTACAGGGGATCGGTTCCACTAGTTGCCCCCAGCTATACCGATCACCCTCCCTACCCACATCTGATTCACCCAGTTGTCTGGGCCCCTTTGCTGGCCTGGACCCTGTACAGGATGACTGGTGGTACCCCCTTATCCACAGCCCTGAGTAGGGTAGGGCTCGTGGGGGTGCTAGTCACGTCCTCCATGCTTCCCTCCTGGTTGGGCGCCAAGCAAGGATCACAGGAGAGGCCTTCCCTGGGGTGGGTTCCTCTGGGCTACGTTAGGCACTACCTTAGACATGAGGCACAGACTGGAACGGACGACTGAACTCTAGTAAACTCTCTCAATGTAATGAACACCACCATGGCCACTGAGGCATTTGGGAGGGATATGCAGAGCCAGTGACCTCTCCACCTGTCCAGTGTATCTCCGATATCTCTCTACCAGTAACAGTATGGAGCCCCACCATGCATCTTCCACTGACTCCATGTGTGTACTACTCTTCCTCCTACATACCTGTGTTTAGGCTGGGGACCTCTGCGGTGCTGATCTGCTCCCATTGCTATGGGAGTCGGCCCCGCTCAGTGCCAATGGCAACTCCTCCTGCAAGAGGGTATCCCACCTTCCATATGTACACACAACAGGCTGCTAGAGAAACCTTTGTTACCCTTGGTAACCTGTTTTGTCTTCACACTGTATTAACTCGTACACTGATGTCTTCATACCCCCTGGCAGGGGTGCATTTTCTGTGAGGCAAACAAGGCTTTTGCTTCGAGCCGGCCAAGAAGAATGGATGCTGGTTCTTCTGGACACCAGGGCTGGGAGGCAGAGCGGAGCGCTGCCCACCGGAAGAAGGGATTTTGGTTCTTCTGGGCACTGGGGTTGGGAGGCAGAGCGGAGCGAGGGGAGCACATCCTCTAAGAAGAAGGGATGCTGGTTCTCCTGGCAACTGGGGCTGGTAGGAAAAGTGGAGCGAGGGGAGCGCCGTCCCCCGAAAAAATGGATGCTGGTGACAGAGTGGAGTGAGGGGAGCGCTGCCCCCCAGAAGAAGGGATGCTGGTTCTCCTGGACACAAGGGCTGGGTAGTAGAACGGAGTGAAGAGAGTACCACCCCCGGAAGAAGGGGTGCTGGTTCTCCTGGGCACTGGGGCTGGGCGGCAAAGTTGAGTGAAGGGAGCACTGTCTCCCAGAAGAAGGGATGCTGATTCTCCTGAGCACCAGGGCTGGGCGGCAGAGTGGAATGAGGGGAGCACCATCTCCCAGAAGAAGGGACGTTGGTTCTCCTGGGCACCAGGGCTGGGCGGCAGAGCGGAGTGAAGTAAGCGCTGTCCCCCAGAAGAAGGGACACTGGTTCTCCTAGGCATTAGGGCTGGGCGTCAAAGCGGAGTGAGGGGAGCACATCCCCCTGGAAGAATGGACACTGGTTCTCCTGGGCATTGGGGCTGGGCGTCAAAGCGGAGTGAGGGGAGCACATCCCCCTGGAAGAATGGACGCTGGTTCTCCTGGGCATTGGGGCTGGGTGTCAAAGCGGAGTGAGGGGAGCACATACCCCTGGAAGAATGGACGCTGGTTCTCCTGGGCATTGGGGCTGAGTGGCAAAGTGAAATGAGAGGGAGCACATTCCCCCCCGGAAGAAGGGGCTCTGGTTCACCTGGACACCCAATGTGTGTGGGGCCTTAAAGTGGAACTTATCACCTTCTCCCCTTTGGTCCGAAGTCTGTAAGTGGTTCTTCACCACCACTGGCATCTTTCTCCCCAGCTCCTTCCAGGTGCTGGTTTTTAACTATCTTGATTGGCCAGCACAGCCTTCTCCCTGCACCAAAATGGCAGAATCACATGCACAGGGGCTAAATAGCCAGTGCGCATGAGGGCTTAAAGCAAAATTAAAGTCACCATACTTACCTTCTCTACAAGGGTCTGAAGTCCATGAGGGGTTCTTTACTGGCAACAACATCTTCTCCTCAGCTCCTTCTGGGTGTCAGTCTTCAGTCACTTTGATTGGCCAGCAAGACCTTTTGCCTGCCTCCAAACACTGGGGGATCTCATGTACAGGGGCTAAACATCCAGTGTGTATGGAGCCTTAAAGTGGAACTAAAGTCACCATACTCACCTCCCCTCCAATGGTCCAAAGTCCACAAGGGGTCCTTTGCTGGCATTTTCTCCACAGCTTCGTTCAGGTGTTGGTCTTCATCCATCCTAATTGACCAGGAGCAGGGGCGGACTGACAACTCATGGGGCCCCCGGGCAATAGGGGATCATGGGGCCCCTGTGTCCTTGCCCACACTTTAAAAAAATCCTATAAAAAAAGTACCAGGGGCATTTCATGGGGCCCCCTACTGACCCCGGGCAGTGCCCGAGTGCTCAAATGGTCAGTCTGACTAAGAGTCAATCATCCCGGTACACAGGAGCCATGCCGGAGATGTAAACTGACCCATGCATGCGCAGCCCAGTCAGGTAAGTATATTTTATTGCGTTGCAGTCTCTTCTGCAATAAAAAGCTTGCCTGCTCGAAAAAAACTGTTATCGTTGTCTTTAGTTCCGCTTTTTTGAACTACAAGTACTGTGCCTGCTGACTTTAAAAAAAAAAACCACGCACTTACCCATTCATGAAGTCTAGTGCTATCTTCCCGGCTCTCAAAGACTTTGTAGCGTTTCTTTTCTTATGCCGCCATCTTGGATTCAAGAGCCAGATGCCACTTCCTGTTCACCGGTCCCCGCTGAGGTGTGTGCATGCAATTCGTGAGAGATACTGTCCTGAAGCCTCCTGAGATGTTTGATGTGTATCCCAGGAGCCTAAGGGCAGAGGGGTGGGGGATAGGGGTGTGGGTGCCTCATTCTTGCCTAGACGAGGAACGAAGAAATGGAAGTTACAGGAGAAAAAGGTAGAAGAATAAGGGCTCGTTCACACTTGGCTGTTTTGCCAACGCTTGCCAAAACGCCCCTATAACGTTTGGCAAGCGTTGGTCCAGCGTTTGCGGAACGTTTTTTAACGCTCTGCAAACGCCGCATGCGCGGTTTAGCGGCGGTTGCTAGGCGTTTGCCGAGCGTTAATAACGCCCCCACAAACGCCTATAATGCAGTTTGAGTGGTGTTACCGCTCCGCAAATGCCCCACAACCACGTCGTAAACCGCACCGCAAACGCTGGCCGGGCCTTTGCGGAGCGGCACCATAGACGAGAATAGGAGGCTTCAAAGCCTCCTGACTCGACCAGAGGCGTCCGTTTTGCCGCGACGCGACGCAAACGCTCCCGTTAGAACAGCACCATGTGCTGTAATGTGCAGAATTGGTAGAGGCGTTTGGGAAGCGGTAAAAACGCTTCCCAAACACCTCTCTGCCGCCTGCACACAGCGCTAGTGTGAACGTAGCCTAAAAGTGTAGCAGGGAGGGGAAGGAAAAGAAATATGGAGAATGAAGGTTCGTGATAAGACCTCATTCAGACGGGTGAATGAGGGTGCAAGACAGATAAACTGCATCTAGGTGTACTCAAACTGGAGGATTGGCACTTTCCAGTTTGAGTGCGGCCAAAGCTGCTGGCACTGGAACAGGGGCAGGCTGACAATTCATGGGGTCTCCGGGAAATAGGGGATCATGGGGCCACTGTGTCCTTGCCCAAACTCAAAACACACTCAAAAAAATCCTATAAAAAGTTACCAGGGGCATTTCATGGAGCCCCCTACTGACCCCAGGGCCCCCGGGCAGTGCCCGAGTACTCGAATGGTCAGTCCGCCCCTGCATTGGAGACAAACTGTTCTACATCCAGGGGAGCTCAGAGCTCCTAACCGCAGAGTTAACACGGAGGTAGCTTCTCTGTCGCATGAAACTGCAACTCCACCCATCCAAAATGGTCCCGAACAGAAACTCATCAAGCAGTCCTTTAGCAGGGATGCTAATCCCATTTCCTGACCCAGAACGACCAATTGAGGAAATATTTACAATGTCAATCATGAAAGTTAAAAATGCAACTAAAAACAGAAACCTTTCAGGAAAATGATATAATAAGTCAAAACATCTAAAAGGAAAGATTCCCCTCCTCCAGGTGGTTCCCCTTATTTAATTACCAAGGCCTATTGTTCCCCGCATGCCCCCCCCCCCAGTCAGCCGGTGGAATGCCGCAACCCCTTGTATGTGTATTGGTTACCTCATATTCATTTACCGCAGGCCAGCCGCTCGGGTTGCCGCGGGCGACCAACAAACAATGGAGTCTGGAAAGCAAGACCTCGTTATCATGGACTGTCACTAGCTAAGCTGATTAAGAATTAACAAGGAAAGCCGGCCGGCCTGACTGACAGCATGACAACGATCGAATTTAAAGTGCCTCTCCTGCCATATGCTGACTGGACGCAATTACTCAACAGAGATAAACGCGGGTCATTACCAGAAAATATACTAAAACCGCGCACGGTGACAGGTGAACCACATGGAACACCATCGTCCAGTAGGAAGGATGTTTGCATCATTAAAGGGCACCTGTCCGCCATTTTATTTCATAAAGCTACTAATTAGTCTCCTACACTTGGCTGATTGGAGCAAGATTGGGACAAGGGGTGGGCAGGAGGGGCGGCCGCCCCCAGGCACTGTTGTATCATATAAGGTGGGGGGGGGGCAACACAAGGTGATTGGGGGGAAGAGATTTATGTTAGGAGGGGGTATTTGGAAGGTGGTAGGGGTAAGAATGCTTCTAGAAGGGGAAATTGGGAAGGTGTGCTAGGAGTGGTGATTTGGGGGAGATTTGTGTTGGGGGGGAGAAGATTTGTGCTAGGAGGGGGTATTTGGGGGGGTGATAGGGGTAAGAATGGTTATTGAAGGGGACATTTGGGGAGGTGTGCTAGGAGTGGTGATTTTGGGGGGGGGGGGGAAGTTGTGTTTGGAGGAGGAAGAGGATTTGTGCTAGGAGGGGGGATTTGGGGAGTGGTAGGGGTAAGAAGAATGGTTCTAGAAGGGGACATTTGGGAAGGGTGTGGTAGGAGTGGTAATTTGGGGGGGGGGGAATTTTTGTTGGGAGGGGGAAGAAGATTTGTGCTAGGAGGGGGGATTGGGGGGGGGGGGTAGGGGTAAGAATGGTTTTAGAAGGGGACATTTTGGAAGGTGTGCTAGGAGCGGTTGGATTTGGGGGAGGATTTGTGTTGGGAGGGAGAAGAGGATTTGTGCTAGGTGGGGGGATTTGGGGGGTGGTAGGGGTAATAATGCTTCTAGAAGGGGAAATTTGAGAACGTGTGCTAGGAGTGGTGATTTGGGGGGGATTTGTGTTGGGAGGGGGAAGAATATTTGTGCTAGAAGGGGGGGGATTTTGGGGGGTGGCAGGGGTAAGAATGGTTTTAGAAGACATTTGGGGGGGGGGGGGGTGCTAGGAGTGGTGATTTGGGGGGATTTGTGTTGGGAGCTCCCATCACATTAGAGGTCCCACTTCACATTAGAGGTCCCCATCACATCAGAGGATCCCTCCATCACATCAGAGCCCCCATCACATCAGGGGATCCCCCCATCACATCAGAGGATCCCTCCATCACATCAGAGGATCCCTCCATCACATCAGAGCCCCCATCACATCAGGGGTTCCCCCCATCACATCAGAGGTCCCCCCCATCATATCAGAGGTCCCACCATCATATCAGAGGTCCCCCATCACATCAGAGGTCCCTCCATCACATCAGAGGTCCCACCCATCATATCAGAGGTCCCACCATCACATCAGGGTCCCCCTCACTTTAGAGATCCCCCAGCACACCAGAAGCCCCCCCCCCCCCAATCACATCAGAGGTCCTCCATCACATCAGAGGTCACCCCATCATATCAGAAATTCTCCCATCACATCAGGGGTGCCCCCATTAAATCAGAGGTCCCCCTTCACATAGGAGGCACCCCCCCCATCACATCAGAGGATCCCTCCATCACATCAGAGGATCCCTCCATCACATCAGAGCCCCCATCACATCAGGGGATCCCCCCATCACATCAGAGGATCCCTCCATCACATCAGAGGATCCCTCCATCACATCAGAGCCCCCATCACATCAGGGTTCCCCCCATCACATCAGAGGTCCCCCCATCATATCAGAGGTCCCACCATCATATCAGAGGTCCCCCATCACATCAGAGGTCCCTCCATCATTATGTAAAAAAATCTTGTCTTGATTATTGAAACAAAAGCCATTGCAGAACTCTAGTGACTTAAAGCCTACACAAAAATCACATAATGATAATAATATTAATAACAATAATAAAATGTACTAAAAATAATAATAATAATTATTATTATTTTAATTAATTGTTATTATTGTTGCTATTATTACTATTATTATTATTTAAATCTTATTAATTTAAATACATTTATTATTATAATGATTATTATTTTCGTCATTATCAAACAACAAAAATAATAATAATAATTATTATTATTGCAGATACAGTGAAGGAAATACGTATTTGCTCCCCTGCTAATTTTGAATGTTTGCCCCTCACAAAGAAATGATCGGGTTAAAAATCGAATGTTCGGTGTATTGTAACAGTTAGAGACAGAATGGCAACAAGAAATTCAGCAGAAATGCGTCTAACAAATGATGACTGATCTGCATGTTCATGAGGGAAAGAAGGATTTGATCCCCGTCACAAAAACATGACTTAGTACTTGGTGGAAAATCCCTTGTTGGCAATCACAGAGGTCAGACGTTTCCTGGAGTTGGCCCCCAGGTTCGCACACATCTCAGGAGGGATTTTGGCCCACTTCTCTTGGCAGATCCTCTCCAAGTCATTAAGGTTTGGTGGCTGACGTTTGGCAACTCGAACTTTCAGCTCCCTCCACAGATTTTCAATCGGATGAAGGTCTGGAGACTGGCTAGGCCACTCCAGGACCTTAATGTGCTTCTTCTTGAGCCGCTCCTTTGTTGCCTTGGCCGTGTGTTTTGGGTCATTGTCATGCTGGAACACCCATCCACCACCCATTTTCAATGCCCTGGCTGAGGGAAGAAGGTTCTCACCCAAGATTTGAGGGTACATTGCCCCGTCCATCGTCCCTTTGATGCGGTGCAGTTGTCCTGTCCTCTTAGCTGAAAAACACCTCCAAAGCAGAATGTTTCCACCACCATGTTTAACAGTTGGGATGGTGTTCTTGGGGTCATAGGCAGCATTCCTCCTCCTCCAAACACGGCGAGTTGAGTTGATGCCAAAGAGCTGGATTTTGGTGTCATCTGACCACAATACTTCCCACCAGTCCTCCTCTGCATCATTCAGATGTTCAGTGGCAGACTTCAGACGGGCCTGGACATGTGCTTTCTTGAGCAGAGGGACCTTGTGGGCACTGCAGGATTTCAGTCCTTGTCGGCGTAGTGTGTTACCAATTGTTTTCTTGGTGACTGTGGTCCCAGCTGCCTGGAGATCATTGACAAGATCCTCACGTGTAGTTCTGGGATGATTCCTCACTGTTCTCATGATCATTGACACTCCACGAGGTGAGATCTTGCATGGTGCACCAGACCTAGGGAGACTGACACTTGTTTTGTGTTTCTTCCATTTGTGAATGATTGCACCAACTGTTGTCACCTTCTCACCAAGCTGCTTGGCCATAGTTTGGTAGCCCAGTCCAGCCTTGTGTAGGTCTACCATCTTGTCCCTGACATCCCTGGACAGCTCTTTGGTCTTTGCCATGGTGGAGAGTTTGGAATCTGATGGTTTGATTGCTCCTGTGGACAGGTGTCTTTTATACAGGTAACACAATGAGATTAGCAGCACTCCCTTTAAGAGACTGCTTCTAATCCCAGCTTGTTACCTGTATGAGAGACACCTGGGAGCCAGAAATCCTGCTGAATGATAGGGGATCAAATCCTTGAACATGAACATGCAGATCAGTCATCATTTGTTAGACGCATTTCTGCTGAATTTGTTGTTGTATTCTGTCTCTCAGTGTTACAATACAGCGAACATTCCATTGTTAGACCGATCATTTCTGTGTGAGGGGCGAACATTCCATTGTTAGACCGATCATTTCTGTGTGAGGGGCGAACATTCAGCACCAGCAGGGGAGAAAAAATACGCATTTCCTTCACTGTATATGTATGTTAACCACTTGCCTACCAGGCACTTATACCCCCTTATTTACCAGGCCAACTTTCAGCTTTCACAGCGCTGCCGCACTTTGATTGACAATTGCGCGGTCATGCAACATTGTACCCATATGAAATTTTGATCATTTTTTCTCACAAATAGAGCTTTCTTTTGGTGGTATTTAATCGCCACTGGGCGCTTTACTTTTTGCGCTATAAATAAAAAAAGTGCAAAAAATTTGAAAAAAAAAAGTTTCTTTGTTTCTATTATAAAATTTTTCAAACAGGTATTTTTTCTCCTTCACTGATGTGCGTTGATGAGGCAGCACTGATGGGCACTGATAGGCGGCACTGATAGGCACTGATAGGCAGCACTAAAGGGCACTGATAGGCAGTACTAATGAGGTGGCACGGATAGGCGGCACTGATAGACAGCACTAATGAGGTGTCACGGATAGGCGGCACTGATAGGTGACACTGATGATGGGTACTGATAGATGGCACTGACTGGCATCACTGCTGGGCACTGACTGGTGGCACTGACTGGCACAACCCCTGGGCACTGACTGGTGGCACTGACTGGCAGCACTGCTGGGCTGCACTGGTGGGTGGCACTGGTGGGCAGCACTGGTGGGTGGGCACAGGTGGGTGGCACTGGTGGGCACAGGTGGGTGGGCACAGGTGGGTGGCACTGCTGGGCACAGGTGGGTGATCTGCTGGGCACAGGTGGGCGGAGCTAGTGGGCGCACTGCTGGGCACAGGTGGGCGGAACTTGCGGGTGGCACTGCTGGGCACCG